TAACCTCTTCATTCCTTACTAGATAATAGACATGGTGTAAATCTGGCATTTCATCCCTTCCCAAAATTTGAGACCTTATGCTCTCATACGTTGGGTCTAAACCAGCCAAGAACTTAAAGGCTCTACCCTCTTCAATTTGTTTATCATGCCTTTCCCTGTCTTTTGCATTCTCTCAATCGAGAATAAGATGATGATCAAGTTCTTCCCATAATCCTTCTAGGGTTGCAAAATACGTTGCAATTGTCATATCTCCTTGTCTCAATGCAGCAATGTCTTGGTTTAGCCTATAAATTCTGGCATTGTTCTTTCTCTGTYCATAAGTTTTAGAWACTTTCTCCCARATCTTAGCAGCAGTGGGAAAGTGTTGAACAGTCCTGGCCACTCTTGGAGTCATCGAAGCAAGCAGCCAGGACATAACAATAGCATTTTCCTTACGCCATACTGTATACTCCACACTACCCACTTCAGGTTCCTTCTTCTATCCATCTAAATAACCCGTATGTTCCCGGGAAGTAATGAAGAGCATGGCTGAAACAAACCATTCTCTGAAGTTATATTCATCCAACAATACACTGGTGATCTGCAAGTTGTGCAGATTTGGATTTTCCAGATTAGGAAACCTCCCACCAGTTCTATTATCCCTAGAAGACACTTCTCCCGATATTGAAGACATCTCCTTCCTCTTACAGTGATTACAATTGAAAACTCAGTACTATTTCAGACTTACCGAGGCTGTTACAAGGCTGAGAACCCCTCGTAACAGGTCTGAAACCAAGAACAATCCACCTCTGTACTGTGCTGAACTCTTCTGGACTAGGCTGGGCTTTGACTTCTGCTGTCGTAGACTGTGATCACCCTTACGATCTGTACTAGGACTGTCGAAGTCAGTCCTTCCACCTAGATGTGTTCCACACAGATCTCTCTTAGCAGCCGAATGGCTACTACCTGCTGCAAGGTGTCTACTAGGGCATCGGTTTCTGGAACAAACTCCCCTTGGGCCCTACAACCAAGGTAAACCCTAGATACAGACCTTGCTGTGTTCTATGGTCAGCCCTAGGGTTTCTTCACAGCGGCCAAGATTGGAGAGAGAGAGGAAAAAAAGAATAGAGAAGAGCAAAAAAGTGGCAGCTGTAACCAGACAGACGGATTAGTGCTCTGATACCATGTTTGCTGGAACATAGCAGCCGAAGAAGAAGAGAAGAAGATTTGAGAATGGCGGCTTACTCACTTCAGCCGGCCCTACAATCTTATATAGATGTTTACAAAATAATGTTACATGAATGGACTGGAATGCCCCTGATTAGTGATGGGACACCTAGACAAATAAAACATTAAAACAAGTTTAGGCCCAATAACTAAGGACTTAAGACACAAATATGACTAACATAAACACTAAACCAGCCGAACCAACAAAGGTTGCAAATTTTTTTAATCAGTGGCCTTGCAATTTGGGTTCTAGAGGTAAAATATTTTGGAGAGCCTCAACTCATGCTGTTATGTGGTGTATCTAGGATGAATGAAACAGGAGAATTTTTTTAACAAGTTTGCGAGGGTGGAAGCCATTAGAGAGAGAATTTTCATGGGCACCTTTTCCTGGCTTCTTTCCTCTGATCATTTCAAAGGTTCCAGATATGCTGATCTTGAAAGGAATTTAATAGAAATTATCCAGTCTTCCATTGTTAACAATTAACTAATGTTATGCATCTTTATTCTTCTTAATATAAAATATTTTTATTAAAAATAAAGAAAAAAATGAGATCCCCCCTTCCTCTTCATCCTCCTCCTAACCCCCCTCCTCTTAAGGAGGCTTACGCCTCCTTGTGTTTGGGAGGCTTACGCCTCTTGTGTTCTGAACTACGCTTCACGCCTCTAGGTAGTGGAACGCCTCGCATCACACATCCTGGTTTTAAAACATTGTTTTTGCTATAGGAAAAGAAGAAAAAAAATGTGTTGATTAGGAAATGTGTAGTAGTAGTAGTAGTAATGTTTATATTGATTAAACCCTAACAAATAAGAAAATAATAAAAAGAAATTAGTATATAAACATACAAAATGAATATTTTAGTTTAATAGTGCCTATTTTATAATATAATGTCAAAAAATAAAGAATAAAAAGGTATTTTATAATACATAGTACAAAACTGTTTAGCGATTAGGCGAGGTGAGCCTCAAAGGGCGCCTTGTAGCCTAGGCGTCACCTTGACAACTATGATCCATTGTCATGTCACAAACAGATCTAGAAGCTCAGACATAATAGGATTCACTTCAGTATCTTTTGCTGCGATAACTTTCCTCCAATGGGCTGCTTCCTTCATAGAAATCTCCAAAGCCACTTTCCATGAAGAGCCGCAATCTCTATTCCAATTTCTGTTTGACCAGTTAAAAGTTTTCTTTTGTTCAGGTTATGTTGGATTTTCAAGCCTTTTAGCAACAACTATGGTTGGCTGGGATTCTTGGGCTGTGTGCTGGGCCTAGGGATGCAACTCTGGCAGGGTCGGTTCAGATTGAGGTCAAACCTAGCCCAACCTGATATTTTAGGGGTTCATCCTCTAGCTTTCTGGCCCTAAACTTGACCCAGCCTGCTTTACTTGCTTCCCAACCTGTAGACCTTGGGTTGGGCTTTTTTAGCCCTAAACCTAGTAAGTAGTAACTGGCATGTCAGTATCTTGTTGACACATGATGTAGCTCTGCCTTGTATTTAGCAAATAAGAGCTGCCTACAAGAATAATCGTCTTATCATACTTTCATATATAAAATATTTTGAATCTTTGGTTCTGGACTTTGGTCAGCTGCTGAGCTGCGTGTTTTCATTGTTTCATTATTTTGATATCCTTTCAAAAGAGGGATTTTCTTTCATATGCTGTCTGCTTTTCTTGTTAAAATACATCTGTTTGGTTATTCTTAATGATCAAAGAAGAAATCTTTTAACTATAAAATTGTGTTATTTTTGCTACACAATGTGTGAGAGACCTGTGTCCTTTTGCAGAACTTAAAAAATTTGGAGAGATTGGGCTGGTATCTGTTTCAGTGCCTGATGTCCCTGTTATTGTTCATAATATGCCTATGGAGTGTGGTTATGCTGATTCAAAAATAAATGAACCTGATTCAGCTGGGAAGTTATGTATGGAAGACAGCAGTTTGCCTCTGGAAACCCAGTTAACTAAATTAAAACAAAAAGTGCATATTCAGGAGAGAGAACTCGAGGAGGCAATGGCCACTATCAAGGCTAAGGAATGTAGGGTTATTGAACTAGAAGCAATTTTAAGTAGAAGTGAGTCACCCAGGGAAGGGTCAAGGAGGAGGAGAGACTTGGAGATCGAGCTTGAGAATCTGTTCAAGCAGAAAATAGAAGCTGAAGTTGAGTACCTAGCTGTAAGCACAACAACCCAGAAGTTGATAGTTGACACAGAGGAGCACATCACACTCCTTGAAGAACAAAAATCCCTGGCAGAGGAGCAAGCCGAGATACTGCACAAACTAAGAGATGCAGAAAGCAAGGCTGTAGTACTGAAGAGACAGGCAGAGGAGTTGGAGACTTGTTGTGAGGAGTTGGTAAGGACCGAAGAGGTGTTAAAGATGCAGAACAGGGTATGGAATTTTACTTTGTGCGTTTTGGTGCAGTTGATATTGCTGTTTACAGCATTTGGGCTTTTCCTCTTGCGGCTATTCCCACATTATGGTGGGTTTGTACCTACCTAAGTCTAAGAAGAGGAATGCCAATGGTTTGTGGTATTCGTCATCATCTGACAACAAATCAGGTCGTAGAACTCTCATAAACTCTGTGCTATTTTTTTACTAGAGATTTACACACGGAATTTTCATGTTGTTGTGATGTTTTTATCCTCTTGTCATTTATAGCTCATTGTTTTCCCGGTTCTTCCTCATTATGAATGCCATATTAGATAGTACAGTTTCTATTGGCCAAGACGAGGAGAGCGAGAAATGATTAGTTGATTTCTCATTTGTTGGGTTGTTATATTACAAGGAATATGTGAAGAGATAGTACTATGGGGCTGAAACTGAAGGAATGCTTACTTGCTCTGAGTCTGAGTCTGTTGATAACATTAACATCCATCTGACTCTGAGCAAATTGGCAAGAGAAATTATAGCATGGCGTGTATGGGCAATACTTGCCTCCTACCACCTCCTGATTTTTAGATCTAAACCCCAAGGCTCAGTTTGGGAAGAGTATAAATACAAATATATACAGTGTAAATACAGGTATAGAAGTACAAAATGCAAATATGTACAGTGCAAAACCTTACATTTTTGTATTATTTTATATGTATTTGTACTCCTTCCAAACTGAGCCTTAAAGGCCTAAGTTCCTAAACCTTTAGGCCTATGTTTGGTTTGAAGGAAAATGCAGGGAAAGGAAAAGGTAGGAAAACCTTTACAAATCTTATATTAGGCTTCCCTGTCTTTCCCTACCTTTTCCTTCAAACCAAACACAGCCTTAACCCTAGCCTTAAAGGAAAATGATTACGGTAGGATGCATGTCATGTAACACGGAAGGAACCAAATATATATTTTCCGACGTGAATGGTGTTTGGGTCGGTGGGTCCATTTCCTGATCTCATCTGATTAGGATAAAAGGAGGGTTCTGTAATTCTATTCTGTTCTATTCTTCTACTTGTGTATGCAGAAAGAAGAGCTGAATCCCAACGTCCATTTGGCATTTGGATATTGGAGACTTGGAGTTGATCATCTCCTGCTTTCTTTGCGTCTCAACTTCCAACTTCCAAAGATGTTTATCTCAGCAACTCCTTTAAACATTTTCAGTCAAATTCCAAATGCAGTGCAAATACTCCATATAAATAATTATTAATTGGAGTGGAAGACGGAGGAGATGGGTGGGGTTGTCCTTACTCCTCAAAGTTGATCTTGAAGAAAAGGGCACCCCAATTTGTCTTTTTAGTGTATATATGCATGTATGACATTCCAAGCTCCAAGGTGAGGAGGGAACTCGCAGAATCTCCACGCGACCTCCCAATGAAACAGGAACACGCTAGCAGTTGAAAATAAAATTCTGAACGTCATGTGAACTGATATTTTATTTCAATTGTTGGTGTGTCCTCTCATTGGTGGGTCGCCCAGAAGATACGAGTTCACGACCAAGCGTGTAGTTGGCAGTTTGCTAAAGGTGTGAATTAAAATATATATATATATATATTATGTTAAGTCAAAAAGAAGGGAAAGCTAAGTGGGTCCCGTTGAGAGTGCGTATTTTATAAATAAGTGCTTATTCAAGCATTTATCAGTGTTTGATAAAAAATCACTTGTTCCAAATAAGGGTAGTATAGTTAATTTCATGATGTGGTGGGCCAACATAGCCAAAAGGAAATAAATACTTAAAAAATAAGTTCAAAATTTGGGTTTCTTGAATGAATGCTTATTCAGGCTTATTTCCTAAATGCAAATTAGGGTTTGTTGGTGTGGTTCCAACTCCCAACAAGCACTCCCAAACATGGGCTAAATCTCTTTTAACTCTCTCTTTTGTCTTAACGACTTCAACCTCAATTGCTTTTATTTTTATTTTTGATAATTAAAATACACATTAACTAAGCAAGAAATTACAAATACAAGGTTCTAGCCAGACCGATGACTTATACCACCAGTAACAAACCTCACTAAAAGTTTTAGCTTGTTGCGTCAAAACATGAGCAACTAGCTTTACTCAACTACCTAGATTATATACAAATTTTACAAAATTGAAATTCTTAACTAAAGACAAAATCCTAGCTATATTTCTAGCAAATTTCCAGGGTAATAAAGTTTCACTCTTTTGAAGAGCCTTAACCACTATATCTGAGTTTGAGAAAATCACTACAGATATAGGATTCCATCCTTGGGCCGTTGCAAAAGAAATACCCTTGAAAACCACTCTCTGTTCAACTTCATTAAGCTCCTGACCAATGACCACAACCCAAAACCCAGTTTGCCTTTTTCTCAGTCCCCTTGAAGATCCTTTCATCTTTCACCTGCCATATGAAATACCGTGCAACTGCAATCCATGAAATAATATTTAATAACGTTTGTGGGTCACCACTCTTTTGCACAATAATCTCAAGAAACTGATGGAAATTTACACATTGGTCTTTTGATATCAAAATTGAGTTTGGCTTTGCTCGGTGCAATGCCCGTTCGAACAGCCGTTACAGCAGCTTAAATCTGGGTGGGATCTTTAATTTTCATATTTTCCTAATCCAGCTTAACATGCTAGGGTGCAAGGAGACATTTCTTTCTTTCCACTGGGACACACTGAATTTCTTAATAGAAAATTTGCCATTATTAGCCCTTTTCCTTATGAATTTATCAAAGCCCCCATTGAATATATGTGTTTCCAAAATATAAGACAGCTCAGGTTGGAGAAATATCCTTGTCAATTTCTGGACATGCCAAGACCCCAATGAAGGAGAAATCAAATCACGAACTTGGGTATCCTCATTTTCAGAAAGGAGGAGGCCCAATTAGAGAAAAAAAAAAAAAATCCTGCATTTGAATCGAAGCAAAATCCCAAATCCTAAGATTGGATTGAGAATGAATTTGGACTCCCAAAGATGGGAGGACGTGCCCTCCATTCCTCCAAAGAGGAGAAGCTGACCTAGAAACCTTCCTGGAATTCTTTCATTATTTGAGAGATACTTACTTTAATTTGCATAACTTGGACCCATAAAGTTTTAAGTCTTTAAATGCTAACCCTCCTTCTGTCTTGGGAGTACAAAGTTTATTCCAAGAATCCCACTTCATATTTTTCCTATTATGAGACTCATTCCACCAAAAAGCTTTTTGATGAAATTTCTCCATTTAATTTATGGTTTTGTGTGTGTGTATGTGTTAAAGTCTAAACTATAAATCCATGTTCATTTATGGTTTTGTGTGTGCTAAAAGCTTTTTGAATTTCCACCAAAACCTAAATAGTTAATGCCTTTTAATATTACACAGTGTGTTAAAGTCTAAACAATAAATCTTTGTTCATGGGTTTGTGAGTCCTCTTACTGATCTGTTAATCTTTCAAACACCAAAGACTGAGAGTGTAGTAACCCAAAATTCATTTCAGTGTGGTTGGTTGGTTGATTTGATTCTAATGACTCACCAGAGTAAAATTGTATTACCTGTGAAAATGTTACGTAGACTTGACCAACCCAGTTTTAGTTTAAGAAGAAAGCACACTATTTTCTCAACCCAATTGGTTCCAGTCTAAATTGTGAAGAGTATGTGTAAACCAAGCAAGCAACCAGGCAGTGCCACTGCTTCCCTGTCCCCACACATACCACAGTTCAGTTCCATGTAAAACGCCCAATTCAACGTTGAATCCCTTCATTAATTTCAATTCTCTTTTTTCCGCAAATCCCTCTTGGCTCTTTCACACCCAGCACCCAGTAATAACAACAATAAACCAGTATTAAATGGAAAATAAACTCATAATAAGTGTCAACCATTCATGGCGATGTTTGACTCAAAACAGTTGCGGACTCTCTGAATTTTGATAAATTCCACCTAATTGCTTACCACTTTTAGTTTTGATACCTGTTGATTGGTTATGATTAGGGGTTGTCAGAGGATTTTTAAAGTCTGAGTCTGATTTGGCTTTCAAATCAACTACCCTACATTTAGATGTTAGAATTTGTAGTATAATTATGTTTGTGTGTTGATATTATATGTAACTATATGAACTTTATAATTAATAAATTTAATATTTTATATTTATATACTATATATAAGTTAAAAGTAATTTTTTTTTAATTTTTTTCTATTTTAAACATAATAATAAGATGGATGAGGATTAACTCAGGATAAATCCAAGTCCAACGTTTCAGATTTCAAATTGGAATCCGAATCAGATGTTGATATAATCAGACCCTATCCATGCATTATGGGTTCGGATCTCCTACCTATAAACTCTTTCCACATTCCTACCTAAGGTCTAAAGTATCAACACATATCGGCTGATACGTAATCCTATTGGGAGCATTCTATTACGCCCTTACAGAGAATGTATCGGGGTTCTAACCGGTTCAAGAGATGGAGGAGTTTTAAATCGGCCCCCCCTGAACCAGTTTTGAAAAAAATAAAAAATAAAAAAAAAAGGACCGATACTTCTCAAATCCCGATACACCCCTATTGGCATATCGGACTTATAGGTATTTAGAACCTTGATAGAGAAAAAAATAAAAAATAAAATAAAAGAAAGAATCGAGGTTGTTTGATAGCGGCTGAAGTAACTGAACTGAATAACTTATTGCTTCTCTTTTATAAAGTGTTGGATACATTAATACTCCACTTATTAACTAACCCCATTACAGCTCCAGCCATCAAGGATCTCATAACCTCTTTTATAACCTTTTATTTTTCTACACAACCTCCTTAATAACTTTATTACCTAAAAAATATTCCTCCTTCCCAACTTATTTATTAAAAGAAAAAGCAGAATTATAGGAACCCACTACCAATACAAGCTCCCAAATACTGTCCCAACAATTCGTTGCAGCCAGTGGAGAATATCTCTCTTGTAATTCATGTCATTTATAGAGAGGAGATCACATCAGCACCCCACATGCATATCTCAGCGAGCGTGAAGACGTCGCTATGATTTGTTGGGATAGTGTTGGTAGTGATTATTGGCAGCAGATGTGAACAGGTCATTCAGTTCAGCCATTTCAGCTCACGTCCACCTGACAAAAAAGAAAAATAAAATAAAGTTGGGGAATGGAAACAGTACTATTACTGCATGTATGTAAAGTTGCCTTGTATCTTAAGTAAGCTTTTTAATCCCCAAAAGGTCTACTTTGACAGTGAAATAAATGATGGTGTATTTGGTGTCATCTGTATTCACCACTGACCATATTCATCCAACCACACACCGGGAATATCAACAATAATAATACAATGTTATTCGCCGATGGTTGCATCACCCTATCAAAATCAAACGGATTAACTTGAATCACGAAATATTAAAACCCCCGAATGGCCCACAGTTCTTCAATATTCCACATCAATGGTATGGATATGGATTGCCCAGGTCGTCATCTTTCCATCAAATGGACGGTCAGGATCATAACGGAAGACAGACAAAATGAATTTCTTCGAGTCCACAGCCAAAGGACAAAATCTCAGAGAAAAAAAAAAAAGGCTGCATTTAAACTCACTACTCACCACAACTCAATTGGAATCTTAACAGATACGTTTCTTTGTATCCTTTTCCCGTGGAACCGACCCTTATTTCCTTTTTCTGACCTGACTTCCCTTTGCTTTGCTGTACCGACAAAGGGTACAATCGTAAAAACATAGAAGATGAGGAAACCGTGTGGGTGAGGGTGAGGGTGAGGGTGAGGGTGTGGGTGTGGGAGAAGTGGAAGGGATTATGGTTTATGAGGTGAGTGAGTGGTGAAGTAATAACATTTAATTAATTAATTTAATAAATGGTGAAGATAAACATGGATTTGAAAACTGAAGGGTTTCAGTTTTTGTGAAATTTTCTCCTTTTGGGGGTCACAGATTTCATTAAATGCTTACCTCTTTAATGGGCATTCACACAGAGAGATTCGCGGTTATAGACTTTTAATGTATATCCAAAATTAAAGTGTCAAATTTTCAGAAAATTCGGAATTTCTCTCATTCTTTTGCTTAGGTTGGTTATTATCAGAGCCAGAGATAATTAAATTACCCAATTAAATTAAATTTCAAGAAAGAAAAGGTAAAATAGAAAGTAGAGTTGAGAAAGGAAAAGGAAAGGACGAAGAACGTGGTAGTCAATCTTCTGATTAAGGGAAGAAGTTTCAAGGTCGTGATGTGAGCTTTTGCTTAATTGGGTTCTCGTGGGGGAGTTTTCTCGACTGGGTTTCAGTCTTTTTGGTGTTTATTATTCTTTAATCTTTAAAAGGGTTTTTGGTTTTCTTCCTTTGGTTCTCTTCTCTGCATCGATCAGTGGAGCTGAATTTTCAACTGGGTATTGGATAGTTTGATGTTGTAACTGGTTTTTCGTTCTGAGATCGTGTCAGCTCATGCTCTCTTTTGATCGGCATAGATCGGGAAACCTTCAAATTAGCTGTTATATATCTTCTCATTGAAACCATTCTATTTTGTGTTCACAGTTTCTTGTTCTTCGCTTCCTGAGATGGATGATGAAAATAATCATAAGAGCTGGAATCGGATTCGGAACCAACGCGTATTGCTCCAAGAGCAAGAAGAATCATCAGGGCCAGGCTCATCATCAATGGAGAAATCGGGTTTTGAGGATTCTGAAGAACTAACCAAGAAATCCGGCCTACGGATCAAGCTAAAAGTTGGAACCAGCAACCAATACAGCGGAGAGGAAAGCGACCACGATCAGAGCTCAGTAAAGGAAAAGCGAGTTTGTAAGGTCTGCAACAAATCTTTCAGCTCGGGACGAGCTTTGGGAGGTCATATGAGAGTTCATGCTCAGGAGCAGGACGGTGGTTTTGGTGTTGGTCCTGTCACAAAGAACCTCCACAACTCCAAGCAGCTCAAGGATCATCAGCTCCTCCATCGATCAAACGTCAACTCTAACAGTACAACCTGTTTGCTTTGTGGGAAGAGCTTCCCCTCCATGAAATCCTTGTTTGGTCACATGAGATGCCACCCTGACAGAGAATGGAGAGGAATTCGTCCTCCCCCATCAGCGACAATCAAGAACAGCTCGTCGTCGACGGTGTCCGATGCCGTGGCTCCTCCAAAGGTGGACGATCAGATAGATTCTGCTGCTACTACTACCATCACAACTACTGAAACCGAATATTTAACTCTTGATCTTGCACAGTCTCTTCGGAGCTGGTCCCTGACTGCAAAGAGAGGCCGGAAAAGTCTGGTTCAGACTAGAAGCATCGATCCTCCCCTATCCGATGCTGCTTATGATCTCTTAGCCCTATCCAACAAGCAAAGCGGCCATGGAATAATCGAGGCTCTAGATAGAGATTCTTCGTCAAAGAAGAAGGTCAAGACAGAAGATGGGAACCGTGTTACTAAAAATTTGAGTTTAAAGACCTTAAAGCAGCAAATTAAAGAAGAACCGCAGCTGGAAGAGAGAGATTTGTTATCTAAGAAGCTGAAACTTAATGAAAGAGGACTACCCATGCGCAGAAAGGACGAGCCCGAGAATGGTGTTGGTCCTGACTCGTTGAGCGTGAACTCCAGTTGGGAATATAGAGATGGGTTTGGGGAAGAATCAAACGACAACTGTGAGGATGAAGAGGAGGAGGAGGAGAAACACCAGTTCACTCACATATCAGGAGCCCACAGGCATAAGCATAAGAAGAAGAAGATGAAGACAATAAAGCTTAAGGACTTGGAAACTGTTCAGAGTGTCAGTCCGATGCCAGTGGTATATTGTGGCAGCAGGTACAAGTGCACCACCTGCAATAAATCCTTCTCTACTCACCAAGCTCTGGGTGGCCACAGATCAAGCCACAACAAAGGCAACAAGTTTCTGCTCGTTGCAGACACCGAAGACTACTCTGAATTTGCAGCAGATGCCTCGGCGGCCGAGGAAGAGCAGCAATTACTTGGGGCTGCCTTGAGTCAGACTCAAGTCGACAGCTCACCACCACCAACACCACCTGAGATGACTGAGGTGGAGGAGTCAAGGTCGACGGTGATAACCATGCATCAGTGTAAGATATGCAACAAGAAGTTTGCAACAGGTCAGGCTCTTGGAGGGCATAAAAGGTGCCACTGGATAAGCCCAGCCGTTGCAGCTCCTTGCAGCAGCAGCTCGGTGGCATCACCGGAACAAGACAATAAGAAGATGGGTCGTAAGATGTTCGACTTTGACCTCAATGAGCTGCCAGTGGTTGAGGATGAAGAGATTCCCGAGTCGGTCTATGATGGAAATTTTCTAAATGATCACTCGTGTGATTGGGGAAAGAGATGAACTTAATTTGTCACATACTTGCTTTCTATTTAGATATATAAATAGTCTATTCTAAAATATTCATTTTTGTGTAGATACAACTTCATTCTTTTTTGTTTATTATTGCATTATATAGAGGTGTTACTACGTACTTACTGATGTTTTATGTATTTATTTTCTTATGCACTCGTTTGCTGTTCAGATTTCATTCTCAACTCAACCCCCCCCCCCTTTTTTTTTTATGGCATATCCATGAAATTGAAAATGATGATTCATAGAAAATAAGTAACATGCTCGACTTAATTGATCTTGTCCTTCACCAAATCTAATCTAACTCTTCTGGGCTGTGAATCCTCCAACCCACTCCATACCCCATCAACTATTCAAATATTGGGCATCCATCCTCACACTTGAATTATATCTGGGCATCCTCACCCTAATCACTTAGGTCCCAATGGAACAATTTATCATTTTATCTGACCATTGCGCCAAGACCCACATCTTCTCACACTTGAATGAATCGGAAGGTCTACTGCTGGTTGTAGGGGAGATTTGGGATCCAATCCAATCCTGCCTGCACCTGGATTGGGGGTTATAAGTTGGGCGATAAACTACCCCGTTCTGTAGCCCTTTAAAATATATATATATATATATATATATATATATATATATAAAAGAAGAATCCAAATCTCCTATCCACAAAATTTTACCCACAGGACACTACAGTTGTAGATTGGGAAATGGGAACATCTCTCCATGATTTGTAAATACCGTAAATGTTCACAATGTACAGCTGTGATATCATGCGGTTACGAGATCCATGGAGCTCCACTTGAATTATGTATACTGGGCAGAAATTCTACTCCAACGCTGATGGATGACCCACTACTACCCTTGTTATTTCTGATATAAGATTATAACAAAGCCTCTGAGCTACAGATAGATAGATTGTTGGGGTTGTTAATTAACAATATGTCTTAGTTTAGAACATATTCACTATATATTTTACGGTTCTATTCTATTTTAAGATAGAAAACTAAATTAGGGTAGGGGGTATAAGTGTCTCTTGAACTAAATTCGATCAGAGATCGATAATCCAATGAATCACAGATCCAGAAATTTGTAAGATGTTGGGATTCTGACCTCAATGGGCTGCCAGTGATTGAGGATGGCAATTCTGTTTGGTTTTGAATGTTTACTTTGAACATTTGGTTAGCTCATCATTTCATTTATTATTCTTACTATTTCTTTATTCCCATTATTAATGGGTTTTGGGAGAAGTTTCAAATTTCAGTTCCTTAATTTCTGAGTTAACTTGCAGCTGCCAAATCTGATAATGTAGAGTTTGGTTATTTTCCTAATTATTCTAAAGCAGCAATGACCACAAGGGATGATGAGTCTGAGTCATGCACGCTGATTAAACCCATGTGAGTTCTGGCCTGCTCATCATTCATTCAATGGTGGAATTGAAATTTCTAGTTTCAAATGAAGGTTTTCAATCAAAGCTTCTTCTTACATTTCTGGAACTGGAACATGTTTATTTTCTACGACAACCAAGATGGAGGGTTGTGTTGTGTCTAGTGTGAGAGCGGTGACTTTGTTCAAAAATCAAAAGAGTTTGGTCCATATCCAGTTTTTTTTTTCTGTTCTCACCCCTCCCAGCTCTCCAAACGGACCAGATTTTGTTGCATCGTCTTTTAATTTATCAATAAGGGGTACCCTTATTACCTCGTCTTGTGTAGGGCTACCCTAGACCTCGATCTCGCTTGGGTAGTTGGTGTTGAATGAATGAAACGAGAACTCTGCAATACAGGAGGCCCAGGAGGAGCAGAAGCCAGAAAGAGAACAATGAACAAAACGGACAAAAAAGGGAAGGGATGGACGTAGCCCGTGGGGTGGCTAGGTTCGGCCTTTTTGTGCAAAAACCTTTTCAGAATCCAGATCTCCCTAGCCAAGCCATGGGAGCTGTTCAACTTCAACACAACATAAACAGTTTGATGATTATGGCTTATAAATTCTGCCAACTTGGGCTTAATCTTCTAAGTGCTTACCGTGGCTAGACTTGTTTAATTATTACTAGTTTTGTTGTTCAATTTCAAAGGAAATTGAATCTTTTAGAGTTTGGAGTAACCTCCAATTTTTCTTACAATACTGGATGGAACCGGCCGGAAGATATCAATGGGTTGCCCAAAGGACAAGGACGCATTAATAATTATAGTAATCCCTATCTTCTAATCCTAACACAAACAATGTGAACATTTGACATGACCAATCTTCAAAACAAAGCTTACTAGCTTATCAAAATATAGGTAGAGTTGAGGGATATTTTTCAGGCGTTTTAGTGACCCATAAATCATTTAGCAGCTTACATAGCTAAAAGACATATTGAGCTTTTAAGGATGAAAACTGTTTCGCAAGTGGTCAGCCTATCAGGTTTTCAAAAATTTGTTTAGAAGCTATGTGATATATTTATCACATGGAAAGACTAGAAAGTTCTACCTGAAGTTTTCTGAAATTCCACATGGTCGATCTTTTCGGGTCTTTCAATTAGCACATCAATTTTCTATTCTTTCCAGCTTTTGGTTACCAATTGATCAGTATTCCAATTTTGTCAAAGCCACCTTAAACTTAAACCCATTAATTAATTACATACGCACCAAAATAACAGGTAATTAATTACTTGTATGTATTTATATATCAGTCGATTATTGTCTTTGAAGGGGTATTAATTATCAAAGGCTTCCTAAATTTCACATGTTAAGTATTGCAAAACATCTTTCTACTGCAATTAAAACTAAAGGCCACTCCTTTTTGTTTTACGGAGAAAGACACGATTGAGTAGCTAGCAATAGCAAATCCCGGGCCATTAAACGATCTAACTTCTTCTTCCTCCCTTGGCTTGATCATCCTTGATGAAGATGGGGCTGGAATACTGTACAAACGTATATGTGTGTTGGTTATGATCCAGCTTTTCATATTGGTTCAACTCTCAAGTGTCATGCACTAGGCTTGCATTTTCTCCCTTCCCCCCCCCCCTAGGTTAAATGAATTATTTTAGGTATCACTTATCTGGGTAAGTCATATCTGTCTTTTAAATGAATAAATAATTTGTTCCAAATTATCCTATTTAATAATAACTTTTTATGGGTAAGATGAATAAATATATTTACAATAAGGCCTTGGTGTTATTTGATGCAACATTACAAAAAGCAATAAGTGCCACATTTACATAGCTATTGAGTCATACCTACGTGTTCCCATCTCCGCCATGTATTGGGAACATCACTTGAAGATACTATCAGACCCGATGATGTCATCATCAGGATCAGGAGATGTTTCCAATACAACGCAGGGATGCACTGTGAGACGTTGTGGGGTCCGAACTCCATACCTCCTTATCATGTACTGTGCCAGATTCTTTGCTTGACCAGACTCAAACAAGCCAAGGGAAATCACATACAAATGTATCATTTTGGCAACGTCTTTTGATAACCAAAATTTAAGATGAACGTAAAATTTAAATGAACCCAACCAAACCTTTGGGCTGTTGGGACTTGAATAAATATGCAGTGCCGCCACTTCCACCGAGAGTAAAGCATATAGCGTGAGGAAGGTGGAAATGGATGCAAAGTCAAATAACCCGAATGTATAAGCGTTGCTTTCAAAGGGGTCACGAGAATTTGTTAAGAAAACAGTTCAGTTGGCACTTTAGGGATCTCCATTATAGTATATGGTTCAGATTTCAGAACCAATCACCTATTACGCTGCTCACTTGAAGCATTCAACGTTCAACAACAAGAAGCTAATTCCTGGTTTAATTAGTTCTGTCACTCACTCCAGCTGTTTATTTCTTTTTCATTTTTAGTTAATGTGTGTATCAAGTGTTTGAAAGAAATACAGCGGCAGTGAAATTATTTGTTTGACTTGGTCTGGGAATTGAAACTAGACCAAGCCAAATAAGTTAGCAGAATTTGCAGGTCACTGTCATGCTCACAGTCACCGTATTGTCATCATTTTTTTGGTCGCATGTTTTGATTTTTGGGAGAATGATCAATCAGCCCAAATCAGAATTTTATAGCCCCATAATACAGGGGAATGCAGATGTGGTTTATAGGGAGGAGAGGGCTAATAGTAGGGGGCTGGAATTCAGAATTCTGCATCGGATGTTTCCGTACTTTACCGTTGATTTTTAGGCTTGAGTAGGACAAAATCACAAAATTGAGGCCCAAAGCCCGAAATTGCTTTCTGGCCTTCTGGTTCTGGGGAGCACGGATTTGAGAAGCTGTTCAAGAAAAGACCCACATGAAATGAAAGCAAGCACCTCAAACTTTTATACAAAAGATATAACCCACCACCAAGAGAGAGAGAAAGAGACCATCCACCTTTTGGTTTTGGCTTCACGAGGAAGAGGAAAGTTTACACACTTTTAACTTTCTACTTTCTACTTTCTACACTGCAGAAGCAATTTTCTTTTTTTTCAAGATAAGTAATAATCAAACTAATGGAGATCCTTCCACAAAAAGTTCTCAAGAGTGGTCATTTCTCGTTTACACCCCCCCCCCAATCTATTCTTTTCCCTCAGAGATCTCAGTATCTCACTGTTTGCCCTCCGGTACTTGTCCTCTCCCATCTCTCTCTCTTCAATTCTTTAATAGAATTTGTTTCAAGATAATAAATAATAATAACTACACAAAACAGAACACAACATTCTTCCTGAATATCCATCTGCTGGCATATAAGATTAAGAACTATATTTAAAAAAAAAAAGAAAGTTTCATATATACTCTAGCATAAAAGGTCATAAAAGGTTGGTGGATTGAGTATGAACACACTACACAGTAATGAACACACTTCTGTTTCTGTACATTGTCTTCATTCAGCTGTTGAGAGTAAAGAGAGTGCATATTTACATGAACAACACAAACTAAAAGTCTAGTCTAGTCAAGAAAGAAAAAAGGGGCATAACCCATCAGGGAGGGGAATAAAAAAATACTGTTGCATCAATTCAATCGCCACTGGATGGAGTGACAACAACCTGAGCTCATCAGCTCAGCTAACTAAATGACATGACCAACAAAGATTCAAAATCACAAGCAGTAGAACGTGATTCCATTACCAAAGCACAAGCAGACGACTGGGTCTGGGGCTCCCTTTTACAGACTATGAACAGACTCCAGAACAACTTCTTCGTCCACCGCCGGCAGCTCATTAAGGTCGAAATCCAACACCCTACGAGTTTCCATTCTATTACTATCGTCTTCTTCTTCCTGTACATATGCCACTGAGTTCGATGCAGCTTCCACGACTGTGCCCGCCTCCGTCGCCGCTGAGTGACACCTCTGATGCCCCTCAAGAGCCTGACCAGTGGAAAACGTCTTGTCACAAGTCTTGCATCGATGTATGGCTCTCACTCCCGTCGGACGGAATTCCAATGAACTGCAAACTTTAGTCGACGGATTGACCGGAACCACGAACACGGGTTGCTGCCGATGTTGTTCTTCATCTGCGGTGCTTTCTGCAGCAAACCCAGATGATTCTTCCGGGTCTAAGATGGTGGGGATAGGGAGGCAGATCTTGCCTACTTTATAGTTGGATCTGTGACCACCCAAAGCTTGGGGAGTAGAGAAGGATTTGTTGCATGTGGTGCACTTGTATCCTTCAAGGAGGACCCTTTCTTGTGCCTCCTTGTAATTGATCGGATTGCCACCCTGAACAGCTCCCAAGTCTACGAGCTTGATTTTCTTCTTTTTGATCATACTAAGATTATTCTTCTTATTCTTGTAGATCTCAGACATGTAACTGAAGCTCTTGGCATCCGGGTCCTCCTCTTCTTCGTCAGCCGCGTCTCTGTAAACCCTTCTCGCGTCCACGTTCATCGCTGGCCTATGGGTTTTGCCCTTCGTCGACGGAGGTAAATCTGTTGCGTCCGCAGCCTCAGCCTCAGCTTGTTCGCTGCGGTTTCGCTTGATCGAAAGAGACAGTAGACCATAGACGGCCTCGGGAACTGGAGCAGCAGCAACAGTAGAAGCAAGACTCTTGCGACCACGCTTTGCAGTGACGGACCAGTTCGGAAAAAGCTGGCAGAGATCGAGAGTTGAAGTAGTTCTACCTGACGTAGTAGCGGAATCGGCCTGATCATCCATCTTCGGAGGAGGTAGGGCATCGGACACAGTGGAGGACGAGCTGTTCTTGGGTGCTGTGGTTGTTGAAGGGGGAGGACGAATACCACGCCATTGTCTTTCGGGGTGGCATCTCATGTGACCGAACAAGGACTTCATGGAGGGAAAGTGCTTTCCACAGATGGAACAGGTTGTTTTGGTCATTGGATCGGCTGTTGCGCCATTAGAACAATAGCTTAGTTGATCCTTGTTAATGGACTCGTGAGGTTTGAGCTTAGAGAAGTGGGGTTGATTATTGGTTCTGGCAGGATCGTCCGCCTGGACTTGTGCCTGACCATGGACTCTCATGTGACCTCCTAGAGCTCGTCCGGAGCTAAATCCCTTGTTGCAGACCTTGCATATACGATCTTCTTTTGATGCTAGACCTAGTGGTGGTGAAGAATTTTGACGGTGGACGCTCTGATCTCCAACCGTGAGCTTGATCTTTATCCCGGATTTATTCACGGACATTCCATCACCGGAAATCGATCTCTCCTCCTCCGATGTTGACGACGACGACGACGACGACGACGACGATGATGATTCACGGACCCCAGATGGATGGTCGTATGGATAGTAATTGCCCCAGTGGTTTTGATCAGCCATTAGAGGAAATGGAAAGAACACGAAATTAAGGAAAAAAGAGCAAGGTGGAATGAAGCAGCTGGTTAAGTGGGAAGATGAAGATCTGGGCTAATGGAAGAAAGAATTTGGGCTTGTTCTATAAAGGAGGAGAAAGGAGAATCAAAGACATGATAGACGACTGATGAGACTAGGAGTCACCATGCAGATGCAGAGAGAGAGAGAGAGATCTTCATCGGAAGTTCCGTCTCTTCCAAATTAAGTAAAGTGGATAATTAAGGCGGTGACGATGAATCGCGAGCATCGGTTACCATAGGATAGGACCAACCCCAACCATTTAGCTTTCCTTCTTCCTTCAAATTCCTCTCTCTCTCTCTCTCTCTCTCTCTCTCCTTGTATGAATGTATGGGACGATCTTCGGTGCTTGCCTCTTATTCCGTTGCTGTGATTTCTCTCTCGGCTTCTCATTTTTTGATTGCCTAATTTGTCGTTTTATCTTATTCCGTTGAAAATTGGAGAATGTTTTGGGTCTTTCGCGGCCTTTAGGCTTCTATCAAAACAAAAAACAAAAAACAAAAAAAAAAGGATGTGCCCTAATCACTCTCCATCTCCAACGAAAAAGGGATTTTTGTTGTTGGTCTTGTTTTGCGTAAATTACGCATTACTACCTTGTTTTTGTGGGTATTGACATTTAACCCTCAACTTTTATACTTGTTGCAATTACAAGATTTCGTAAAAGTTAAGGGTTCACGGGTCCGTTTTGGTTCTGTTGAAAGTTATTTGTCCATCGAAACTGACCTGGTTGGGGTGGGGTATTTGCTATGTAAAACTGATCATTAGTAAAAACCGACCAATTTGGATCTTATCGCTTTAATTGATCAGTTCAAAAGACAATTTAAAAAATTAAATTGCAGTTGTGTTCAACGTTTTTGAACCGTCGTTGATCCAGACGATCAGATCATTTGGCTCAAGAACCGTTTAGACAATCAGTTTTGTTTTACCCAAAACCTGGAATCTGGTCAAAAACCGTTTACTCAAAACGTCAATCCATTCAATGGTTTTAATCGTTTTTTATTATTTTTATTTTTTTTTAACTTGCTATCAGAACTGGCCATCTGTTTGAATTAGACGATCGGACCATTAACCCAGAAACTGGTGACCAGAACAGTTATGTTTTCGGATAGTTTTTTAAAACGTTGGTTGTGTTATTAAAAGAATTAAATTTAAATTATAAAATATTTTATATTAAGAAATATGAAAATTTTCTCACATTTTCATATTAAAAATTAAATTTAAAATATAAAATATTAATAGATATCTATAGTGAGATCAGATTGGTTTTGGTTGATTTACATACAGTCAAATCGAAATCGATCCAACCTCTCGAGTTAGCATAATGTATGAATTAAAGCCAACCAAAAATGGTTGAAAATTAACTAACTTGAGTCAAGTTGGGTTGATATGGTTGGTTTGATCGATCTTATGAACAGCCCTATTAGAAGCTTCTTGGTTTTCTCTTTTTGCAATTTTCATTTTATGGATTTTTTTGGGTGGTTACTTTGATAAATTAACTAGGCCTCGTTTAGTTCATCTTTCTATGTGGGTTGTCAGCTGTTTAGAAGCCCAATAGCCCATGTTTTCTTTTCTTGTTTGGTTGGGGGAAGATCTAATCGTTAAAAGACTCTATCCCAAAAAAATACGAAAAGCTTGACTTGAGCTTATTTTGGGAAGCTAGAAATGAAACTTCTAATAAAGCTCAACATGTGAGACTCGCGAGCCAACTCGAATAGCTACATACATACATACATATAATAATAATAATAATAATAATAATAATAATAATAATAATAATAATAATAATAATAAGTTATAGAAAATAATATATATAATAAAAATATTATACATAATATTTTTATTTTTATATATAATAATAACTAGTTATTATAATTCTTATTTTTTAAATATAAAATAAAAAAAATATTTTTATATATAATTTTTTTATTTTTATAAAACATTTTTTTCAAATCGAGATTGAGCTCAAGGTTCTAGCTCAAACTGAGCTCGAGATTGAGTTTGAGTCTTATATTACTTTAGTGAGTCGAGCCCGAATAGCTCAACTTGACTCGAATCCACCCCTACTCTTTTGTCATTTTTTATCTTGTTTTCCCCTAAAAAGATGCACCTCCAACCAAATGGCCTGTCTACTGTCAAAATATTTATATAAAAGCCTAATACGTCTTTTGACTGTCAAATCTTTCAAAAAACCTTGTGAAACGACACCTTATACTCTCACTCACCCAACTTAAGAGAGGAAGGTATTTGTTGAAATCTGAAAGATTTAGGAGCTAATTGCCACGGCCCCAAAATAGACATTACTAATACGTAATTTACCCTTTTTTTTTGTCTTCTCTGTATAAAGATTCTAATTAAAAATAAACAAAACTCCAGGTTATAGCCAGCACGGATGGGAATTCAAGGCGAAAGGTAAGTCGTTGGACAAAAACAGAAGGTCTTGGGTTTTCAGTTTTCTATTTATTGTCTAAATATTAAATAAGGTAATTAATTCCAATTTTAATTAAATTCACCACCACCCACCCACTCGCCCCACTCGCCCACTCATTTCCAAGTTCCCAACCCCTACTCCCACACCCACTCCCACGCGGACACGACATGGTTTGGTCGTTTCTTTCTTTCTTCTTTATTTTGTATTAATTATCATATTTACCCCTTTCCACTGTTAGATGTAGAGAGTTATTATTGATTGTGGGTTCTATGGATAGTTATTATTGGTTCTACAGCTTGCTGAACAGCTATCGTTTTAGGGGTTATTCTATCTCAGTCATTTTTTTAATATTTATTTAGCAAGTATCAAAGAGAGCAAAAAAAAACAAAAAAAACAAAAAAAACAAAAAAACATGCATATTAGTATTGTAATGGTGCTTTTCTTATTGGGCTGTAAGGTTGTAGATAAAAGATGGTGTAAATTGCTAAAGCCTCCTTAAAGCTTCTAATTGTTGCTGAAACCTTTCATAAGTTTGGTAATTGTAATCATTTCTTCTTAATTTTTTGACACAGTTGTAAGTAGATCCTCTTTGTAATAATCCCCTAATAAGAGGCATGAGAATGTCCAAAATATTCATACAATTATTATTCAGGTTGGTTTCAAAACAAAAACAATAACAATAAAAAAGAAAATTTAAAATTGTAGTTTTACCTTTAATGGTTGATATGAAAGGAAATTTTGGGAAATAAATCAATTTTAGAAAAGAAATTGGAAGGGCTTGAGCTAACAATTCATATGAAGAGAAAATATAAAAGATAAACATTTTGGTGAAAATTAACTCCATGGGTATTTGGACAGGTTCATGCCTCTTTTTAGAGGACTAGTAATTGTGTACGTGCTTTGTACGTGGTAATTCTAAATGATGATAATAATAGTAATAATGTATCCAAAATTTTCTATAAACTTTATGCATCTTTATTTTTTTATTTTTTTGTTTTTTATTATTAATCGGATGCGGATTGAAAATCCAAATCTAATTACATAAACACCTCATCCAAATATGTGATAATCATATTAAATTGTGAAGTTTCAAGTATCATTGATAGGTCTACTTGCTTGGTTAAATTCTTCCTTTTGTAATATTTAATCTTTTTAGTGTATCATTTTTTTGTTCATTTATCAAAAACAAAAAATATAAGATTTAAATAGAGGGAATTGAATGGGGTGAAAATTAATAGTCCAATTTACAATTTAAATCTCATAATTAAATAGGAACTAAACTCAAAATTGAGTATTTTAGTCAAAAGAAAGTTGTGCAATCTTATTCATATTTTTAATAGTAATGTAAATATAGAATTATAAATGGTTTCTCAAGTTTTTTATAATTTTTTTGTATTTTTGTGTATAAAAATAATTCTAATATGTTACACTTACTTTTTATTTAATATAATAAATATATGATATTATACATGTGCCTAAAGGCTTTTTTTTTGCAAAATTTATGTGTTTTTTATTTTTGTATTTTTATATTTTATTAACTTTTATTATTTATCTATGACATTAAACATTAACATGTTTGACCCAAAATTTGAACTATCAATCTTTTCCAAATAGTAAAATAATTTTATTTTTGGTCAGTTCTAAATTATGTATTTTATTTTCATTACCAATAAAAATGGTTATTATTTATTATACTTATTTTTTAATTTGATTAATAAAAATATCATAAATGTGTCTAATTTTTTTTTATGTTTTTTGGTAAGTTTCTATATTTATTTCTATTTTAAAATTTTTATTACTTAACTATGATTTCGTAGGTTGATCAATTTGATTTGGATGATTGAATTGCTTAGCCATTGATTAAAAATGGTTTTGTTTTTGAGTCAGTTTTAAAATATATGGGTTTATATTGTTAAAAATATTAACACATATCTAATTTAATAAACGAAAATGGGAGTTAATAATTCTAGTATAAGACTTAATGAGAGGGGCTTAAATGAGATGGGAAGTAATAATTGAAGTTACATTTTCAACCTTACCATTAGAAATGGAATAAATACACAATTATGGGCATTTTAGTAGCCATAAAATCTGGTATTAAAGTTATAATAAAATGGCTTTTATACCCTTTCTTAAACAAAGAGGTAGAGGGTAATTTTAGTCTAAAAAATTTTTACATTGCATTCACACTTTTATATATAGTATAGATATAGATTTTTACAAAAGGAGGTCTGCTTGTAACCATGTAACAAAGTTCAAGGGAGGTTTTAACAAAAACTAAAACCTTTAGGGAGGCTTCAATAATTTATGCTAAACAATAAAATAATAGATAAATAAAGATTTTGGATATGTTTGGTACCATTGTTGTTTCCAGGTAAAACCCTACCACATCGGTGCCACCTAGGCATTTTGAATTGCAATGGGAATTTTTTATTTGCTTGAGGCTGCTGCTTTAACTCAAAATAATCAAAAAACGTTTTGTCTGAAAATAGCGACGAGGGGGTAGGTGTTGGAGGAAATGTAAAATTAAGGTTCCCCCCAACAACCCTCACAATGTTTTAGTTGATATGGCACTTACCAATCATCCGATGTGGCATGTGATGTATTGATACAGTGCATCATATATCATACAACACTTCAGCGTGATTGGTGTTGCATTGGAGAAAAAATCTGATGAAATCCTAGATCTAGAGAATTCTTGTAAATTAGATTGGCATAACAGTAATTGGAAGTGTGATTGGTGTTGAATAGAATTAAAACGTTTACTTTAAATACTTCAACATGAAACAAGACATACCAAACACATATGTACTATAAATTCCTAGTCAACATTGCTGTTGAGACTAAACATTAAGTGTTAACCAAACAAGTTTCTCTTTCAACCATTGAAATTTGCAACACCCAAACTACTCAAAACATTTCAACCTGAAATGACAATGATACCAAACACAACCTTTATTTTGTGAAACTGAGTGAGTTCATTAGGCCATATTAATTAATATACTTAGGCTCAATTTGGAAAGAGTACAAATGCAAA